GGACTCCCCAGCACCCCCGGCCCTGGGCTGAGCCGGGGGGCTGAGCCCGGTGGGGTCCCCACGGCAGAGGGGGTGCCGCGGGCTGCTGACGGAGAAGGAGTGGCCACAGGGTGAAGGACACGCAGGAATGTCATTATCCAGAGCTCAGGCGGTTTAGTGGGAAGAGGAGAGCTAGGGAATTGTTTTCCATTAGGGCAGCAAAAAGCTAATTTGGCGGCTGCGGCTGCTGCGAGTCAAGGGGCTGTTAACCCCCTGCGCCCTGGCTCAGCCTGTGCTGACTGGCTGCTCCCTTGCCCCTCCTGCCGCTGGGGCAGCTCTGCTTGCCCCTGGGCCGGCCACGGAGCCAGCTCTGCTCCTTGCCAGGGACTGTTACCAGGCACTGGTGCCCGAGGGAGGCACTCATTAAGGCGACCTTCATCCGTCCTGGCTGTGCCCACTGAAGCCAGGGAGGGCCACGACTCCTCCCGCCTGCCTTTTGGGGAGACCCGCTTGCCCTGAGCACACCCTGAGCTGTCCTGTTGGTGCAGGAGGGCCCCAGCTCCTGGTGTGAGGCTCTGCAGAGCGTCTCCCCTGAGGTGCTGTGACCAAGGGCAGAACTGGATGCTTCAGCCGCCCTGCAGCAACCCCAGGCTCAGGCACTGGCCCGAGGGCTGCAGCCTCAGCAAGTGCTGAAGCAGCGCATCGATCCCCAGAGCCTCTGAGTCGGGGTGGCCAAGGAGGAGGAGGATGGCTGCTGCTCTTTGGCTGCATTTGAGCATGTTCCCCTGGACCGGGGGGACACCAGCTGGGGATGCTGGTGTGGAGCACAGGGTGGGTTGTCTGAGGTCTGTGTTCCTTGGCAGGACCGAGCGCGCGACCGCGGTGTTGCTGGCAGATCCCTGCTTCCAGCTGCGCTCCATCCAGTACCTGCTGGGCCACGCTGAGCCCTCGGCCCTGGCAGCAGCCGCCCCGGCCACGGACAAGCGCCACTTCTCCCTGCACACCTGTAAGTGCTGGCACTGCACTGGGAGCTGGGCTCTGCTCACCACCCACCCACAGCTGGGGAGGGAGGGACGGGGCTGCTGGTGTCCGTGTCCCCTGCAACATCCCAGCCCTTTCAGTCTTGGGGACAGGTGTCTATGCCCTCTTCCACTACCTCAGGAGCAGCACTTTGGATGGGGATGTATCCAGTGCCAGCCAGTAGTTCTGCCCTTCTTAGTGCCCAGTGCTCCCTGTCCTGGGTGGTTCCCAATGCAGCTGTAGCCATTGTGCATCATTCAGCAGCCTCAGGAGAGCCTGAGGGTCCCATTCACCCCACACACACCCAATTTGCTCCCCAGACACAGAGTACATCAGTACTGAGGAGCTGGCAAAGGTGGAAAAGATGCTGAACCATCTGAGTGAGGAGTCTAAGCAGGCAGCTGCAACCACACTGGTGAGTCCTCCCCCTGCCCTGGCCCTGTCCCAGTCCTTGACAGCAGGCCTGGGACACAGGACTTTGGATGGCACTGCTAACTCCTGGTAACCCCCACAGCCCACCAGCGAGGAAGACCTGTGCCCCATCTGCTACGCACACCCCATCTCGGCCATCTTCAGGCCCTGCTCCCACAAGTCATGCAAGTGAGTAGCTCCCATATCTGACCCCACCTGGATGACTGCAGCCCCTGGCCCTGCCCTGTGCTGTGTGGGTAGGGGCTGATGCTCTTTCCTCCTCTGTCCCAGAGCCTGCATCAACCAGCACCTGATGAACAACAAGGACTGCTTCTTCTGTAAGGCCACCATCACAGGGGTGGACGACTTCACCAAGCCAGCCAGCTCGTAGAGCCCAGCCCCACACCACGTGTTTCCCCAGCGGAGCGGGGCAGCCCCCCTGCCTCACACTGGCTTCTCCCCAAATGCTTGCCCTGCTCAGGGCTGTGGGACCCTCACCCAGAGGGTCAGGACGCAGCATGGGCAGCAGCGTGAGGCGGGAGGGCTGCAGGGTGGGAAAGGCAGGTGCCCAGCAGCCTCTCTGCCCCATGGGCCGTTCTCAGGGAGGGGAGCCCGAGGCCTCGGCTCTGCTGCAGTGCTGGGAACACACGGCAGCCCCGGGGCCAGGGCAGGGGGGCTGAGCTGGGCATTTGGGCTGTTAACTTGCTCCTGGCTGGGGGCTGACTCCATGAAAAGCAGCATTAAATTATTCTTCCTTATGTGGTGCCCTGAAAGATGGGAAAGGGAAGGCCCCGGTGTTGGGGCTGCACTCAGGTGATGCTTAACAGTAAATGGAAATATAAATATTTAATCCAAGGAGAGCTGGGAGCGCAGGGCCTGCTGGGGGCTGCTACATGATGATGCGTGGCTCTGGCACAGACTCGGCGATGGATTTGTGTGGCAGCACATTGGCCCCGTTGAGGTAGAGCTCGTCGTTGACGATGACATCCTCGCCCAGCACAGTCACGTTCTCCATGCGCACCTGCCCCAGAGAGGCCCTGTCACGCCCCTGGGCTCGGGGCCCAGTGCCAGGCTCCTGCTCCTGCCTGCAGGGACCACATCCCTGCAGCCACAGCCCAAGGAGGTGGGAGGGCTAGAGCTGAGTCCCCATCCCCTGCAGGGACACCCGTGTCCTCACCCACTGCCCCACGGAGCAGCTCCAGCCCACGATGCAGGACTCCAGCCAGGAATGGGAGCGGATGCGGGCCCCTTCCAGCACAGTGCAGCGTTTGATGCGCACCCCGTCCTCCACCACCACGCCGGCCCCGATCGTCACGTTGGGGCCGATGACACAGTTTGCCCCAATCTTGGCACTGGGGTCCTGGAAGGAAGAGGGCCCATGCCAGGCTTGGGAGGGCAAACAGCTCTTGGCATAGCCCATGTCACTTGGCCAGCCAGGGAAGAGGAGGGCACAGCTTGAGGGTGGCAGCGAGGACAGTGGTGGGACAACACAAAGAGCTCGTGACGTGCCCAGGGCTGGTGTGCTGGGGGCTGGCACTTACCACCAGCACATTCCCTACGACACCGGGCCCCGAGTGCAGCTTCTCGGGGTGCTGAGCCCGCAGCGCTTGCAGGTACATGCACATGCCCGTAAGGAAATCCTTTGGCTGCCCAATGTCCATCCAGAAGCCTATGGGGACAAAGCCACAGTGACAGCGCCCAGTGTGAGGGTGGCAGTGCAGGCAAGACCCCTGATGCTGCCTGCACTGTGCACAGGGCCTTACCCTGTAGCTCCATGGCGTAGAGCTGCCCATCCTGTGCCATGGCTGGGAAGATCTCCTTCTCGATGGAGGTGGGGCGCAGCTGCGAGGACGGAGCACAGGGCTGAGCAGGGGGCACAGCCCCTCAGCCTGGCCCAGCCTGGCACCCCGGCTCGTACCTGGATGCGTTGCAGGATGCCAGGGTTAAATATGTAGAGCCCAGCATTGATCTTGTTGGACACAAAAACGCGCGGCTTCTCCACGAAGCGGCAGATGCGGCCGGTGTCGGCCTCGCACACCACCACACCGTACTTGGCCGGCTCCTCCACGCGGGTCACCACCAGGGAGCCCTCGCCGCCGTGCTGCCGGTGGAAACGGGCCAGCGCCGCGAAGGGGAACTCGCAGATCACGTCGCTGTTGAGGACAAAGAAGGGCTCCCCGTCCTCGGCCAGCAGGTCCCGCGCCAGCGCCAGCGGCCCCGCTGCGCGGCCGTGAGCGACGCCGCAGGGACGTGGTGAGCCCGGGTCCTGCTGGGCCCACCTCTGCCCGTCCCAGCATCCCTCCCAGGTCCCCAGTCCCTCTGGATCCTCACCCGGCCCGCTGTCCCTGGTCCTGCCCATGTCCATCCTGGCATACCCCTCCTGATTGCCCTACCCATCCACAGCCATGCTGCTGCCCGTGGTGTCCCACTCCCGGTGTCCCCCTGCCCTACCCATCCATACCCACCCTAATGCCCACGGTGCCCCCTTCCAGCGTCTCTAGCCGTATCCATCCCGGTGTCCCCTCCTAGCACCCACCCTGCTGTCCCCGGAGTTCCATCCCGTCTGCGCCGCCCTCCAGCCCCAAGATCCTGCCCGAATCCTACCTGTGCCCAGCGGCTCCTTCTCGTGGGACATGGAGATGCGGATGCCGAGCTGCGGGCACAGGGTGAGCGGCGGGACAGACCGGGTAACGGGGGGAGGCGGGGATACGGAAGGGCCCTTACCCGTTGTTCCTGCTCCCGCATAGCGGCCTCCAGCGCGTCCGACATGTAGCTCACAGCCAGCACCACATGGCTGACGCCCGCCTGCGGGAGCGCGGGTCAGCCGGCGGCGGGGCGGTCCCCGCGCCCCCCGCGCCCCGCGCCCCCACCTGCCGGAGAGCTTCGAGCTGGTGGAGCAGCACCGCCTTGTTGCAGAACTCCACCAGCGGCTTCGGCCGGCTCAGGGTCAGCGGCCGCAGCCGCGTCCCGAAGCCGCCAACCAGGATCAGCGCCCGCATCCCCCGCGTCCCGCGTCTCACGCCAGCGCCCGCACCGACACGTCAGCGCCGGGCGCGCCGGGCGCGTCAGCGCCGCGCGGCACCGCCCCGTCCGCCGGGCCCTGCCTCCGTCCGCCGGGCCCTGCCTCTCTCCTCTGGGCCCTGCCTCCCTCCTCTGGGCCCTGCCTCCGTCCGCCGGGCCCTGCCTCCCTCCTCTGGGCCCTGCGCCGGGCCCTGCCTCCCTCCTCTGGGCCCTGCGCCGGGCCCTGCCTCCCTCCGCCGGGCCCTGCCTCCCTGCGCCGGGCCCTGCCTCCCTGCGCCGGATCCTACCGCCCGCCTCCGACACACCGCCCGCCCCCTTAACACTGCCCGTCCCCGTAACACCGCCGGCCCCACACACTCCCCCGTTCAGCCGGGGCTTTAGGCCCGCCCGGCTCCCATGGCCGTATAGCCGCGTCGTTACTGCAGCCACCGCACCCCGCCCGGGGCGCCGTCGGGACGCAGCAGCGCCGATGAGAGGAGAGCAGCGGCCACGGCCGCACCGGGCGGTTCACCCAAAGCCCCTAACCCCGGCCCCAAGGTTCAGACGGCGGGAGAGGCAGGCACGGCACGCCGCGGACAAAAACAGATCCTTTAATGGTTTTTGGTTCTCTGTGAAGCACAAACAGGGTGGTTATTCATGTAAAAACAACCGGGGCCGAGGCTATGTACAAGCTGTGGAGTCCCACCGCAGTGGTCCGAAGGGAGGGAGGCGGCTCCCACTGAGCACGGGCAGCGGTCACGGCCCAGTGAGGCAGGGAAAGGCAGGAATGAGCGCGGGGGACAGCAAGGGGCTCTCCCGGTGGTGCGGCCTGACTCACCCCAGCACAGCCCGCGGGGACAAGGACATGCAGGGGTGGGTGGCGATGGGCCACACTAGGGCAGGGCCAGGGACTAATGCGGCTGTTGTGGGTACCTACACCCCTGCACTCACCAAGCCTCGCTGCCTCCTGCAAACCCGCTCCCTGAAAATCCTGCGTGTCCTGGCAAGGTAGGGACCCGCAGGAGCAACGAAGTAACCTAGTGCAGGGCAGCGTGCCACGGATAAAGGTCCTTCTCCAGAGGACGGAGGGGGAGCAGTGGCTTGGGCAGCTTTGAGGAGCTGGGAGACCGGCAGAGAAATTTGGCAGCTCTCCTGTCCCCTTCCACACCAGTGCCACAGACCTGTGCCTGAGATGTGGCAGCCGTGCTTTCCGAGCGGCCTCTGCGCACATGGAGTCGGCACACATGCGACATGCGAGTATTCCCCAAACGAGCATCCCTGAAGTAATTAAAAAAACCCCAACCCTGGCCTTGTGGGTACACAGGGTAATGGTAATGCCATGGAACCAGTCAGTGAGAGCAGGAGGGAGCAGCCAGGGCCCCAGCACAGAAACAGGAGCTGAGGTGGAGCAGGGTTCGGTCTGGTACCACCAGGCCACAGTATCAAATATTAATTCCTCATCAAAGGAGGCTGGGAACATTTATTTTGGGAGACACTGACTGCGTGAAGCAAAGCTGAACAGTCAGGCAGTGGTACTGAACAGTCAAGACAGTGGCTCTCACTGCTCAGCTAGGTCACCCCTCACCTGGCCTCTAGAGACCCTCAGGGAGGAGATGGGAATCAGCCCTGAGCCTCAGCCTCCCCTTCCACCACCTCCAGACCTGTTGGAATAGCAGGGCCTGGGGGCAGAGGGTCCCCGGGGGAAGAGGGCAACTTTGTGCTGGAGGGACAGACTCTGTACTTTACAGGAGGGGAAGGGTTGAAATGGTCCGAAATGCCCCACTGCACAGCTGGGGTCATGTTAACTGCTACAGATACTATTGCTAGCCCACGAGCTGAGCACTTTCAAGTCAGTGGTCCTGGGCAGAGTCACTCCTGCAGAGCCCTGTGCCTGCCCATGCCATGCCATGCCATCAGGGAGCGAGCAGACCCTAGGCTGAAGCACAGCTCCACGTGTGTGGCATTCCCTCCGGGCCACGGCTCTGCCAGGGATTGCATTTGGTCATTTCATTTCCGTGTTTGGGGTAGCTACTCACAGTGCCCAAACAGCAGAAAAAGGCAGCATCAAAAGCAAAGCCCCACTGGCAAAACCCAGGGCAGAGCCAGCAACACCGAACACAGGGACCGGCACCTGACTTCTCACCGGTGGCCTCACAGATGCTGCCAACCGTCAGGCAAGCGCCCTTTCCAAACAACTCAGGAGAAATTCAAAGGGGAAGCTCCTGAGGCAGAAGGCTCCTCATACCAGAGCTCCAGCCTCGTCAAGAGCCCTGGGCTCTCCTGCTTTCTCTTCCCTATGTCCAGGTCCTCCCTCCAGAACGCACATATGATGAGCGAAGAACCGGGACACCCAGCAGGCATCTACAGAGCCTCCTCCAGAAGGCAGAGCAAGTGCGGTCAGAACCATCTGGTCAGCACGAGAGTTCTTCCATCCTGCCTCACCTCAGCTCTTCTATCCAAGTACATTTAAAAACAACAGAGCGATACAGTTGTTTAAAACCAAATTTGTCTGTGTTTTTCCTGTGGTAGTGGGTGATCTTGTCTGCTCCTGCCACCAGGACAAGAATAAGAGGCCACAGCCCAGAGCTACTGGTTTTCCTCACGCATCTGTTCCATGATGTTGATGAGGCTTTCCAGCCCGAACACGTAGCCCACGTCGGGTCCGTCGTGCACAGTGGGGTCGTCGCGGAAGCCCTTGAACGTGCTGTGTGCAAAGTCAATCATGCGCACGTCCACCTTGGGCTGGGCCGAGGAGCCGGGCTCCGAGCCGCCGCCGTCCTGGAGGCCCTCGGGGACGGAGCCCTCCCCCCGCTTCAGGCGCGCCTCCGGCCGGCGCTCCAGCAAGGTCCCCGCACGGCTGTCCTTCCCGTCGTAGATGATGAGGAGGGAGCTGGAGTAGAAGCGGTAGGAGGCCTGTCTCTCCAGAACCGCCTTCAGGCTGCGCAGCTTGGCGAGGACGGGCTCAAAGAGGTCCTTGCGCAGCTCGATGCCGTTGTGGAGGTACTGGTAGAGGGCGTTGCGGAAGCCTTCGATGGAAAGGCCGCGCCCATAGTATTTATTCCTGCATAAGTAATGCCCTGTGTCCAGCTGATAGACCTGGAACACCAAAGGAAATGCACATCAAGTAGGAGCAACAGGCTAAGGCCACGCAGAGAGCCCTGAGCTGTCCTGCACTGACAGGGCAGAAGGGAACTCATCCTGTCCCCGTTATGATTGAGTGGGAGCAAGACACAGCTCTGCCCGTTCCCTGCATCCCAGAGCAGCTCACGGGTGCTGCCCAGGGGCATACTCAGGATGCCTGAGCACTAGTTCTCTTCCAGGACACCCAAAAGGAGCTCACAAGTCCTATTGCCCCAAAAAGGCATGACACGACTGACCCCAGGAGTTAAAAAGCCAAGTCTTACAGCAACTCCGACAATTCTCTGGCAGCAAGAGCTGCTGACACCTATTGCCATTACATGGCAAGCGATTAATGAGGAGCCCTCATTGCTTCAGAGTCTGTGGGCAGAGATTTGGGTTTACAAGATCTGGTTCCTTCAGCAGGTGGGGAAAGAAGCGATTATTGCACAACAGCAAACCCTTGTGCACAGGCCCAGGCACAGCAGAGCAACTTTTTAACAATCAGGGCAGTATAGAAGTAAATGTCAGACACTTCCATCCCCAGGCATTGTGATTCTGGCTGAACACTAAGCCACAAAACTAATTTGATTAGAAAATCCCCTAACTGTCTGTGAACAAAGGAGCTCTGGACAAAGGAGGCCACCTCAGGGAAAGCAGGTTCTTTTGTTTTAGGCTTAGAAATGAAGACAAAAATAGCAAGAATGCTGCTGTACCTACCTGCAGTGGGAGGTTCAAATTCAGTGCTCAGCAGGAACACTAACTGGGAGGCTTAATGCAGCTGTGAAAAGGAAGGTACAGCATCTGCAGCCTGGGGGATCCCTACCTGCATCCCACACACACGCACACCCAAGGTGGCAGAAGTGCTCTGTTCACACTTCTTCATCTGCCGAGCAGCCTTCTCCTCAGAGGCATCATCTCCGTGCTGCCTGGTCCCCATCTTCAGATCAAGCACGCAGGGAAGCTTGAAGTGATGCACCACGTTCTCCAGCAACAGGAACTCTGGGATATGTGTCAAGGAGAGCTCACCCACCACAGACAGGGACCTGGGCCAGCAGGAGATAGGGCTGGACAACAAACAAATAGGAACCAAAGAAGAGACAGGACAAACAGCTTGGTGAGTTGAAGAAAAGGACAAAACCCAAACAGTGGACCCAGACTTTGACAGCTGGTAAGAAGGAAACAGCCTAGAAAGTGGAACAGCCAAAGCAGGAAGGTCACATGCAGTGGTACTGGAAATTCAGAGGAGAAACTGAAAAGCAAAACACTGGTGTCAGGAAGGACACAGGATGCCAGTAGGAATTGCTGATCCAATAAGAGAGAGCTTCAAGTCTAATCAAATTAGCTATTTGACCATATGGATAAACAACATAAAGCCCATGGACTGAAAACTCAAGGGACAAGTAATGGCCTGTCCAGAACAGCAGCACTGCCCAACACACACAGGAGAGCTGGGGAGGTGACAAAGACAGGAAATGGAACAGTAACAGGAGCCCTCTGTCACCAGCACACAATGGGCACACAGTGCCCCTGCACTGGGGCACAGCACTGAGAACACACCCCAGGCACTCTGTACAGCAACTGGTTCCCAAAGGGGAAAAAGACACCCCAAAAGTTTACCCTAAGGAGTCCCACAGGGCACAGATCAACATGTAAAATCTGAAATGGCAACCAGAGCACAGCTGGATTAAATGTGCAAGAGAGGAACTGTGTTTGGTTTAGAAAGAGGAACTTCATAAAAATAAGGAAGCGTGCTTAAAAAGGAGAGGGCAGCCAAAGAGAATGACTTCTCTGCAAGTGATGCAAGCTATTTAAAAATAAAATCTGGAGTCTCCAAGCTCACACTTGAGAATTGGAGAAGGAAGCCCAGGCAGTTAAAACTACGAATACTGCTATTAAAAGTAAGTTTGTTTCTATGTGAGGAAAACAGAATCCAGGTGAAACAAAATAACCCTGCAAGCTGGCAAGTTCAAAGCAGGAGGAGTCATTTGTGAAGGCGCAGAAAACAAACCCATCTTCAACCATGCAAAGAAGTCAGTCAGAGTGCCTGGAGGTGGATGGAGATCTTCAGGGCCCCTTCCAACCCAAACATTCTGTCCTTCATTAGTGTCACAGTATGGGAAGCAGGAAGGAACAGCTAAAAGGAACATGTAACTCAAGTGTGGTTGAGGACAGAAATGCCAAGGGAAATGCAGGCCTGGCTGCCTCAGGCACAAAGGGGTAAGGCCAGGGCAGCAGCAGCCTGACACACCCAGCTGTGCTTCCCAAAGGATACTGTACAGCTTCCGGTCCTTGGACTCGGACCGCATGCGGCTCAGCTGCTGCTTGTGGCAGCGCAGGCTCCAGGGGTTATAGCTGATCTTCTCAGAGCTCAGGCCACTGTTCCCATCCAACATCTGAAACGGAACATCTGAGTGGATGTGCAAGTCCACCCTGGGACTCTTCGTTTCCTGGATGCTGCTGTGTAAAGACAGAACAAACCTGCCTGTTAGAATGCGTCAGTTCTTCACACTCTTACTGTCACATCCTCCCCTGGCCTCTCCTGTTCCTTCTCCTGCTGCACACAGTGCAAATCTTCTAACAGCAAATCCTCACCAACTACCCTGGGCTGTGGACACAGGCTCCAGGATCTGGTCTGTTTAATATCTCTGCTAAAAGAGCAAACAGGAACACTTGGTCCACCCTGGGACTCTTCGTTTCCTGGATGCTGCTGTGTAAAGACAGAACAAACGTGCCTGTTAAAATGCGTCAGTTCTTCACACTCTTACTCCTCTGGAAGCTGGGGTGAGGAGGTAGAGGACCCATATTCCAAATACCCTGGTAAGAAATCCCTGGGTTAATAACCAAGTGGACTGAAAAGTGTTCAAATCTGCTCTGTATGCTTTGGTTGCACATCTGATACACTGCCAACACTTATCCTGTATCAGAAGCATTTCATATGGATGAATTGGTCCTGAACCCAGGAAAACTCCCGGCACAGTCTGCAGTGCCAAAATCTGCTGGGCTAGCAAGTGCACAACAGCCTGGCCACCTTAAGGAATTGCAGAACATCCTCAATCAAAGGAGTAGGGAAGAAATATCTCTCGATATTTGTGTTGTCACTGGGCCCTCCAAGTTTTACCTTTCGGTGCTGTCACTGGCCAGGCCAGGCTTCTCCTCCTTGTGCTCGGTGCCGCTGCTTGACCTGTGAAGGCTCCGGCGCGAGTGCTTGCGCCGCGGCTGGTCCCTCTCCGGCAGATCATCCTGCTCCAGAGCCTCGTTCTCCACATAGGGATAGGCCACCAGGTTAATGTAGCCATCACTGTCTCCCTCAAAACAGACAGACACCACACCTGCCGGGGAGAAGTAACACGTCAGTTCTCCCGGAGGAGGGAATACACAACCATTATCAACCAAATGTTCTGCAGGAGAGAGGAAAATGTAGCTCACAGAGAAGCAAAGCAAGCCCAGAGCAATAGAAGAGGGAGAAGAGCTCTGCCACTGCAGGAAATAAGGACAGAAGTACAGCTGGTAAGCTGAGGGTGTGATTTATTTCCTTCCTTCAGTCTTGCAGCAAATGTCAGACTGGAGAGAGTCAAGCACAGTCTACCAAGATGCTGAGGGGAGCAAAGCATGTAAAATAACACCTGATTTGTTTGGATAAGTACCTACATCCTGCAGAAGCATTCCTGCTCTTGACAGGGACATCACCAGCCAAGCAGGACTGTGCTTTCTCTGCTAAAGGAGCTTTCCAGCATCAGAGCAATGAAGTACGGAGCCCTAAGGCTGAGGTGACAACTGTCACTCTTATCACAAGTCAGCCAGTCTCACAAAAAAGGAATCTGCAAGGGCCAAGGCCTTCCTAGCAATAAAAACAGGGGGCCCTGGAAGCATAATGACCTCTGCCAAGTGCAGGCAAGCAGGCCCATGTGTCCTGTCCAGTTTCACCATCTGAAGGCTCCTGGAAAGCACCATAGTGCAAGGGAAGTTACAGATCTTCCACAGCACAGACTCAGAATATATCTGGCCAGCCACAGAGCAGGACTGCTGACACTTCCAGTTAGGGCTGACATCTTAATTTCTGGGACTACTGCCCCAGCCCTGAAAATGAGGCCATCAGCCCATCTCCTGATGTGCAAATACAAAATGTTTCATTAGCTTGTCACTAGTATTGACTAGCTGCCAGGAGTTTCAAATGACAGACGCACTGAACCAAATTTATGATGCACTGAATCAATGTATCAATGTATTTCCTCACAAACATGAGGAAACCTTGCCCTCCCCAGATGATGCAGGCCATCCTGTTCTCGTCCTTCTTTTCTTCTTATCTGCACAGGACAACGTTAGCAAGGTTCAGGTGGCTGAAACACGACTCCAGAATGTCAGTACATAAATGCTACTCCAAGTGCTGCCTGCATGTGCTCAGGATACCTCTGTGAAGTCTTCCAGTAACATCCAAGTGCTCAGACAGAAAATATCGTACCATAGCATGTTCCTCTCCCCCAGATCAGTAGGAAAGATTTCTAGGACTATGAGGAAACTGCAAAGGGAGGGACATGCACATCCCATGCCATTAGGGTACCAGGAAGTACCTGACCTCAAGAAGACACGAGTCCACCTGGACTACCAGCTTCATCAGTTTTAAACACACCTCCCCAAGAAAAATTCACATCATATGGACTCTAGGAATTACACAGGCTCCAGTGGGATTTCTGATGGACACTAGAGTACTGTGTGCCCCCAGAATGGCCAGAGGGTTAAGAGAGAACCCATCTGTTGCAGACTGCACCCCTCACTCATGACAACCTGTGTGCAGACACCAGGAGGGAAATTGACACTGCTTTGAGACAGTCAGGCTGCAGCCAGATGCAAAGGCAAGACCCTGAACAGATGGTGGTCCCAGCTGTCTGCAAAGCACCACCTTCCCAGTGCCACGTGGAGACAAAGCAGCAGAGGGAACAGGAACACTGAGCGCCCCAGAAGTCTACCTGACCACATCACCATCCTGAACACAAACACACAAGGCTGGAAGCCTATCGAGCTTCTCAAAGACACAGCTGAGCTGCCAACCTCCTACAATGACACAGGCACTGGAAAATTCCACTCCTTCAAAGCAGCTGGGGACAAGGTTGCATCTCAGCACTGGGAAAGCCATACTTCCTGCTTCAGCAGCTTGCTGCTATGGGTCCATAAAGGAGATGGGATGAGGAAGCAATAAATTACGGAACTGGAATGTGCAAATGCTCGTTTTATGATCTGGCTTCATTAGCTCAAGGTCAAGGCTGTAATTGACAATAACTTGGTAATAAAACTGCTTCAGTTACACATCCATAACCTTAAACTTTGGACTACAACTGTCACACTGCATATTCTCTGTATAGAAAGAGGAGCACATTCAACACAGTGTGCCTACCAAAAAAAAAACCAAAAAAAACTTCCTCCTTTCCAAGCGTCGCTATCAAATCGCCAGCCCGCAAAAGGGAGTTTAATAAAATCAATATGACCCCAAAAGACAGCAAGACAGCAGCAGCTGCAGGAAAATGGAAGGACAGGTTCTTAAAGGCTGCCTCACCTTTGTACTCAGGTGTGAACTCCTTCATTTCTGGGGGCAGGGACTCGTAGAAGCGCTGCTCCCGCGTGATGAGGGGCTTGCAGACAGTGTGGTCGTCGTAGCGCATCATGCTGCTGTGCCCGCCCACCTGGTGAATGAAAGGCTCCAGCAGGACCCCCCGGTCTCCAGATCGAGTGGCATTCTTGCCATACTTGCCCACTTCCATGGTTTGACAAACACACATTGCGTTGGGCACCCGTTGCACTCTTGGAGCATGGGGAGAGCCACATGGGCTGGGAGGGGTAGCTCAGCAGCGGTCAGGCAGCCACAGGGGGGAAATCCTGGTAATTTGCTTCCTTGCAATGATCTGAAAAAGCAAGAGATTCCTGTTAGTAAAGGACCACTTACACTCAGCTCCTTGTTCGCTTGGAGAAGTTTATGGTATTTATTTATATCCATATCCTCTTGTTTTTTGTTTACATCCTGCTTGTTCCAGCATGCTCCTCACCACCTCTTTAATCCTGCAGGTAAACACACTAATTCAGAGGCAGTCCCATCCACAGCTCCTCCAATAGGATTGACAGCATACAGGCAAAGGAGGAAATATGGCTATTTTAAGCCTCCCGTCTTTATAAAATATTATTTCCTTCCCTGTTCATTTTACTAGTAAGGCAATGGAGCAGACTGTGAGCTATAGCCCACACCCACCTATCAGTACTGGTGACTGACGCAGGCAGTACAAACATTTCCAGAATCTGAAATCCCCTCCTCATGCCTCTGCATTTTTAACATCTAAATAATTCCTGTTCACCTGCTACTGTCACACTGTTTCCTCTTTTAGTGCTCACTGCTCTTCAGGCACTGACATGAAAGACGCAGAGTAAGAGTGACAGTCACTCTGTCACTGTGTGTGTGCTGAAACTGAATGGATTCTGCTCAGATTCTCTCCTTTATCACTCTCAGCCTTTCAGGACAATTTTCTACTGCTTTCACAGCACCTACATGCACAACAAGGCCCTGATCCCTAGAGGTAAGTAAGATATACCACTAAATCCAAATGAGATTACAAGTGCTTTAGAGAAGCAGATGGTCTTTTAAGTGTTTGCAGAATACCTGGTACAGCCACAGGATGATAGAAAAGTAAAGCTGCCCAAATTCTCTCCAGATGACTTGCCCTTTTTCCAGCTTAGATCACAGCTGCCCCTGAGGCTGCTGGGGAAAATGTCACAGGATTTCCTCACAACGATGAGTTATCCAAATGTTGGTACAAGAACCAGGTGGCGACTAGAGTTTCCGAATGCATTGAATTTCCAGTTTCTTCGCACAGCGACAGCCAAGGGCAGTAATTTAAGAACTGAGGGATCCTGGAGGCCTGAACAAGGGACACGGCTCAGGCTGTTCCTCATCCGGCCACGGGATGTCTCTGCAGCTACACAACACCGCCGGGCCGGGGGAATTCTGGAGGAACCCGAGCTCATCTCCCCCGCTCCACTTCAGCCATGTCAGAGATGAAGCTCGAGAGATTCAAAAGGAGGGGTGATACTTCCTAACATGTTTAACCCAATCTAACCCAAATTCCCCGCAGCAGGACAATGCTTCTCTCTCCTTGTTTGCTCGTTCCTGCTTGCTCCCTCACTCTGGGTTTTTGGGATAGTAGGAGTGTACGTACATTTGAGTTGAATCATCTCGCTGATCCCGTGCAAAACATTTCCTTTTGTGGTTACAGGACCACACTGCCATGTTCAGTGCAAGGGGAATAATTTGAATATTTAGCTGGCTTTTAAGGCAGGGGCCAGGAAATAGGAGGGGAAAAAACCCACAACACAGATAGTCCCTCTCTGTAGTAACTCATGTCAAAGTCTCCCAAACTCATTCAGAGCCTAAGCTGAATCACAAACAAAAACAAGTTGGGGATTTCTCTCCTCCCTCTTATTTGTTTTATCAACAAGAAGAATTTCAGCAACAGACACTCATAGATGTTTTAGTTGGGTTTAACACAGTAAATATCCAAGAACAAGTGAGGTACCACCATCTGCAAGAGGTCAGCACTTCATAGATTCCAGACAAATGTTTCACAGACTAAAGTCTCCCCCTCCTGATGCAGCTCTGTCTTGGATTCAACTTCTTTTATTTTGCCTATGACTAAAGCAGAGCTTTCACCTATTCCAAACAATACAGAGGACAAACTTAACTTCACACCTTCCTGTAGTTTAAACTTCACAGGACCAGAGGAATCCAAGATCTGTCTGTGTGACAGTAGTTGTTACACTCAGGAGACATGCACATGATGCTCGGGACTGCAGTCATCCACGGGCTGCTGGGAAATGGCTGTGGCCACCAAGTGTCCTGGGCTCACAGCCAAGGACCCCAGCACCCCCAAGAAACCCCAACATGACAAATTGTGGGTGTGCAGGCTGCCTGGGAGGAAGTGAAAGCCTTAAAACCAAAACATTCTGAGGCTCTGACACAAGAGCAGGAGCTGGGCATCAGGTGGGGAGAGAGTCCAAAGCCAGATACAACTGCTCTACACATGCATCCGCACACTCCAGAGAAACAGTGATACAGGCAGTATTTTCCCATGTTCAAGTGAATGTCAGAAAAAAATATTTTGTGGCAAGCAGCATTTTGCAGGCAGTATTTGTAAAGAGGAAGATTTCCACAGGGCTTGAAAAAGAGATACTTTGTAACTCAGATACAGCTTAGTGTTTTTCACCAAACTAACTGAAAGTAGAGGGTTACTACTAAACATAGACACTATCCACAAACAAAGACAGAAGAATCCCAGCAGTTTCAAACGAATATAAAGCAGAAAACTATTTAAAGTCCTAAATATTACTCATCCTTTGTCTGTTAAACAAAGGCATGAGTTCAACTATTTTAGCTGGCTTATAAAATTTAAAGTCCTTCCAATTAAACTGCAAAACACAATGCACAGCCTAAGAACAAGCTTGAAGGAGACCAGTTCATTTAAGCAGATCCTTTGTTATCTTCCACCACCACCACCGCGGCTCAAGCAGCAGTGAAACACCCAGGCCAGTTTAGCACCCTCTTCCAAAAGAATGATCTCTCCTTAAAAAGACAAAGTCCCCACTGAGTTGGACTCCGGAAAGGTGTGGGGTGGGGTTTAGGAGCAGTTATCTGTGACTACACAGACATACCACCCCCCATATTTCATTATCCTCCCCCATAACAGACTCAAGCACTGGAACAGAATTTGCTCTACAATATTTACGTCTAGACATCTCTTTGTCAGCGTATCTGCTCCAAGTCTGATCTGCATACCTCACTGTTCAAACACTTCCTGGCAATAAGATGTGTTTTCTTGTAGTAACATATTTCCAAACAAAATCCAGTAAGACATCCAAGATAACACTGCTCTTCCTAACCCATTAAGTGGGGTAAACCCTGTCCTCAAAACCAAACATCACCCTCCAGCAGAGAATTTATCCCTTCACAGAAACAGTGCTGTGTTCTTGAAGACCCAGCCAGAGTGTAGTAACATATTTCCAAACAAAATCCAGTAAGACATCCAAGATAACACTGCTCTTCCTAACCCATTAAGTGGGGTAAACCCTGTCCTCAAAACCAAACATCACCCTCCAGCAGAGAATTTATCCCTTCACAGAAACAGTGCTGTGTTCTTGAAGATCCAGCCAGAGACCTACCTCTTAAACATTACTGAACCCTGACTGAAGACTACAAGTGTCTTACCAGACCAGCACCAGACCCAAGGAGATGCTCCTGCCAGTTCACAGCACAGGAGCCCAAGAACAGCAACATCTCCTCTGAGGGTGTAACTTAAAGGAGAAGAAAAATGAGCCTTGGAGGTCACCACATGACAAGAGGTGAGGGCAGGGAGCTGCAGTGCCATGGATGTGAGAATTACTGCTGAGCACCCCACGATGCTGATGTCCCTGCTCTCTATAAGCCATCTTGTATGAGAACACTGGCAACGCTTCACCACTCACTGGTAAAGCTACTTCCCTAAATATAAAGGAGAACAAATGCTTTAAATTGTGATGAATCACACAGCAAGAACACTGACTGCCCTCAGCAGCTTGCACATCCGTGCTTCCAGCACCGCCGCTCCTCCGACTGCAGCCCCCAGGCCCTGCCGTAAGCAGGGCTAAGGCAGATGGTCACTGATGACTCTGGAGACAGGCCACAGGCAAGGGATAAATACAGACCCCAACGTCACCATGACACAAGCTGGACTTTCCCTGAACAGCCCCAGAGCACCCAGGAGGAAAGCACAAGAATAGAAAATACCAGTATAGCAAACGAGAACTACAGCAGTTGGTCAATTGGCTCCTGGTGAGTTAGACTCATTAGCAAAGAAAAGCAGAAGCATCTGTGCTGAAAGGCAGGGTTGTTTCTATTCATGCTGGATTGGATGAGGTATGAGAAGAAAACCCAGTCTAAGAAAGTTTAAAACAAAAAAAAAAAGTGTTTCCCACTGTGCTATGAGATCAACTTCCCAGCACAAAAGCTGACTCCCCCACAGGTTTGAAACATGTCTGTCTAGTCAGCAGTAAATGGAGATGAGCCCTGGGACCTGGGCAGAGAACACAACTCTCCAGCAACCTGCAGCAACACTTAGGAGGTAACCAGAAACATTTGGCCTTGGTGACATCCAGGCAGCTACAGATTTTCCTAGCTTACTTAAGCACATAGCTTTGAATCCTGAGCCTTCTCATGCATCTCATCCAACACTTGAACTACTACCAAATACTCCTTTTTGGACAGGCTGCTCTCACTGTGACAAGTGTGGCTCGTCAGATTGAGGCCAGGAAGTAGAATACAATCAATATACATGCATCCAAAGTGGAACAGAAGTCTTAGGAAAAGCTGCTCAAGAATGCCAGCTGAGGAGGAGAATGGCAACAGTGAGCTTGCGGAGGAAGTGCAGTGAACAAGGGCTTGGAGAGGACAATAGCCACTGCCACACATGCTCCACCCCGTGCCAGGAGCTCAGCTTCCCTCACCAATCCTCTTTCTTCCTCATCAACAAGGCACATATGCACCAACTGCTAAGTGTTCACAAGGAAAGAGCCTGATCTACTTAAGACAGAGCTTGTCTGAACCTAGAGAAAGGGAAATAAAATTAAGCTTATAGTACAAATCCTTAGAGATACATGTTTCTGGCTCCTAAAGATCCGAAGGAAGACTGCTGGTTTTAGGTGGGAGAGTTAACTTTCTTCCTTATAACTTGTATGGGGCTGTGGTTTGGATTTGTGCTGAAAACAATGTTGACAATAAAGATGCTTTTGTTATTGGTGAGCAGGGCTAGCTGAATCAAGGCTTTTCCTGCTTCTGACACTGCTCCACCAGCGAGGAAGCTGGGGGTGCACAAGAAGCTGGGAGGCA